GTTCGTAGATACAAGAAAACTGTTAAAATTCTTCAGAAACGTCACTTTTGAAGTGTTTTCTTGTACTTTTAAGCCAATCAGATACCCTACGGGCTCGGAAAGTGCAACGAAACCATCAAATTTTAGCTAGAAACTGTATTTTTGTCGATTTTTATTGAATTTGAACTATATTTCAACGTTTTTTGATGGTTCTGAGCCACCAAACACACTTAAAGCATGCAGAATCGACTCAGAATAGGAAAAGGAGACGTTTAGGTCAATTTTATGCATTCTGGCGTTCGTAGATACAAGAAAACTGTTAAAATTCTTCAGAAACGTCACTTTTGAAGTGTTTTCTTGTACTTTTAAGCCAATCAGATACCCTACGGGCTCGGAAAGTGCAACGAAACCATCAAATTTTAGCTAGAAACTGTATTTTTGTCGATTTTTATTGAATTTGAACTATATTTCAACGTTTTTTGATGGTTCTGAGCCACCAAACACACTTAAAGCATGCAGAATCGACTCAGAATAGGAAAAGGAGACGTTTAGGTCAATTTTATGCATTCTGGCGTTCGTAGATACAAGAAAACTGTTAAAATTCTTCAGAAACGTCACTTTTGAAGTGTTTTCTTGTACTTTTAAGCCAATCAGATACCCTACGGGCTCGGAAAGTGCAACGAAACCATCAAATTTTAGCTAGAAACTGTATTTTTGTAGATTTTTATTGAATTTGAACTATATTTCAACGTTTTTTGATGGTTCTGAGCCACCAAACACACTTAAAGCATGCAGAATCGACTCAGAATAGGAAAAGGAGACGTTTAGGTCAATTTTATGCATTCTGGCGTTCGTAGATATAAGAAAACTGTTAAAATTCTTCAGAAACGTCACTTTTGAAGTGTTTTCTTGTACTTTTAAGCCAATCAGATACCCTACGGGCTCGGAAAGTGCAACGAAACCATCAAATTTTAGCTAGAAACTGTATTTTTGTCGATTTTTATTGAATTTGAACTATATTTCAAAGTTTTTTGATGGTTCTGAGCCACCAAACACACTTAAAGCATGCAGAATCGACTCAGAATAGGAAAAGGAGACGTTTAGGTCAATTTTATGCATTCTGGCGTTCGTAGATACAAGAAAACTGTTAAAATTCTTCAGAAACGTCACTTTTGAAGTGTCTTCTTGTACTTTTAAGCCAATCAGATACCCTACGGGCTCGGAAAGTGCAACGAAACCATCAAATTTTAGCTAGAAACTGTATTTTTGTCGATTTTTATTGAATTTGAACTATATTTCAACGTTTTTTGATGGTTCTGAGCCACCAAACACACTTAAAGCATGCAGAATCGACTCAGAATAGGAAAAGGAGACGTTTAGGTCAATTTTATGCATTCTGGCGTTCGTAGATACAAGAAAACTGTTAAAAGTCTTCAGAAACGTCACTTTTGATGTGTTTTCTTGTACTTTTAAGCCAATCAGATACCCTACGGGCTCGGAAAGTGCAACGAAACCATCAAATTTTAGCTAGAAACTGTATTTTTGTCGATTTTTATTGAATTTGAACTATATTTCAACGTTTTTTGATGGTTCTGAGCCACCAAACACACTTAAAGCATGCAGAATCGACTCAGAATAGGAAAAGGAGACGTTTAGGTCAATTTTATGCATTCTGGCGTTCGTAGATACAAGAAAACTGTTAAAATTCTTCAGAAACGTCACTTTTGAAGTGTTTTCTTGTACTTTTAAGCCAATCAGATACCCTACGGGCTCGGAAAGTGCAACGAAACCATCAAATTTTAGCTAGAAACTGTATTTTTGTCGATTTTTATTGAATTTGAACTATATTTCAACGTTTTTTGATGGTTCTGAGCCACCAAACACACTTAAAGCATGCAGAATCGACTCAGAATAGGAAAAGGAGACGTTTAGGTCAATTTTATGCATTCTGGCTTTCGTAGATACAAGAAAACTGTTAAAATTCTTCAGAAACGTCACTTTTGAAGTGTTTTCTTGTACTTTTAAGCCAATCAGATACCCTACGGGCTCGGAAAGTGCAACGAAACCATCAAATTTTAGCTAGAAACTGTATTTTTGTCGATTTTTATTGAATTTGAACTATATTTCAACGTTTTTTGATGGTTCTGAGCCACCAAACACACTTAAAGCATGCAGAATCGACTCAGAATAGGAAAAGGAGACGTTTAGGTCAATTTTATGCATTCTGGCGTTCGTAGATACAAGAAAACTGTTAAAATTCTTCAGAAACGTCACTTTTGAAGTGTTTTCTTGTACTTTTAAGCCAATCAGATACCCTACGGGCTCGGAAAGTGCAACGAAACCATCAAATTTTAGCTAGAAACTGTATTTTTGTCGCTTTTTATTGAATTTGAACTATATTTCAACGTTTTTTGATGGTTCTGAGCCACCAAACACACTTAAAGCATGCAGAATCGACTCAGAATAGGAAAAGGAGACGTTTAAGTCAATTTTATGCATTCTGGCGTTCGTAGATACAAGAAAACTGTTAAAATTCTTCAGAAACGTCACTTTTGAACAGTTTTCTTGTACTTTTAAGCCAATCAGATACCCTACGGGCTCGGAAAGTGCAACGAAACCATCAAATTTTAGCTAGAAACTGTATTTTTGTCGATTTTTATTGAATTTGAACTATATTTCAACGTTTTTTGATGGTTCTGAGCCACCAAACACACTTAAAGCATGCAGAATCGACTCAGAATAGGAAAAGGAGACGTTTAGGTCAATTTTATGCATTCTGGCGTTCGTAGATACAAGAAAACTGTTAAAATTCTTCAGAAACGTCACTTTTGAAGTGTTTTCTTGTACTTTTAAGCCAATCAGATACCCTACGGGCTCGGAAAGTGCAACGAAACCATCAAATTTTAGCTAGAAACTGTATTTTTGTCGATTTTTATTGAATTTGAACTATATTTCAACGTTTTTTGATGGTTCTGAGCCACCAAACACACTTAAAGCATGCAGAATCGACTCAGAAGAGGAAAAGGAGACGTTTAGGTCAATTTTATGCATTCTGGCGTTCGTAGATACAAGAAAACTGTTAAAATTCTTCAGAAACGTCACTTTTGAAGTGTTTTCTTGTACGTTTAAGCCAATCAGATACCCTACGGGCTCGGAAAGTGCAACGAAACCATCAAATTTTAGCTAGAAACTGTATTTTTGTCGATTTTTATTGAATTTGAACTATATTTCAACGTTTTTTGATGGTTCTGAGCCACCAAACACACTTAAAGCATGCAGAATCGACTCAGAATAGGAAAAGGAGACGTTTAGGTCAATTTTATGCATTCTGGCGTTCGTAGATACAAGAAAACTGTTAAAATTCTTCAGAAACGTCACTTTTGAAGTGTTTTCTTGTACTTTTAAGCCAATCAGATACCCTACGGGCTCGGAAAGTGCAAAGAAACCATCAAATTTTAGCTAGAAACTGTATTTTTGTCGATTTTTATTGAATTTGAACTATATTTCAACGTTTTTTGATGGTTCTGAGCCACCAAACACACTTAAAGCATGCAGAATCGACTCAGAATAGGAAAAGGAGACGTTTAGGTCAATTTTATGCATTCTGGCGTTCGTAGATACAAGAAAACTGTTAAAATTCTTCAGAAACGTCACTTTTGAAGTGTTTTCTTGTACTTTTAAGCCAATCAGATACCCTACGGGCTCGGAAAGTGCAACGAAACCATCAAATTTTAGCTAGAAACTGTATTTTTGTCGATTTTTATTGAATTTGAACTATATTTCAACGTTTTTTGATGGTTCTGAGCCAACCAAACACACTTAAAGCATGCAGAATCGACTCAGAATAGGAAAAGGAGACGTTTAGGTCAATTTTATGCATTCTGGCGTTCGTAGATACAAGAAAACTGTTAAAATTCTTCAGAAACGTCACTTTTGAAGTGTTTTCTTGTACTTTTAAGCCAATCAGATACCCTACGGGCTCGGAAAGTGCAACGAAACCATCAAATTTTAGCTAGAAACTGTATTTTTGTCGATTTTTATTGAATTTGAACTATATTTCAACGTTTTTTGATGGTTCTGAGCCACCAAACACACTTAAAGCATGCAGAATCGACTCAGAATAGGAAAAGGAGACGTTTAGGTCAATTTTATGCATTCTGGCGTTCGTAGATACAAGAAAACTGTTAAAATTCTTCAGAAACGTCACTTTTGAAGTGTTTTCTTGTACTTTTAAGCCAATCAGATACCCAACGGGCTCGGAAAGTGCAACGAAACCATCAAATTTTAGCTAGAAACTGTATTTTTGTCGATTTTTATTGAATTTGAACTATATTTCAACGTTTTTTGATGGTTCTGAGCCACCAAACACACTTAAAGCATGCAGAATCGACTCAGAATAGGAAAAGGAGACGTTTAGGTCAATTTTATGCATTCTGGCGTTCGTAGATACAAGAAAACTGTTAAAATTCTTCAGAAACGTCACTTTTGAAGTGTTTTCTTGTACTTTTAAGCCAATCAGATACCCTACGGGCTCGGAAAGTGCAACGAAACCATCAAATTTTAGCTAGAAACTGTATTTTTGTCGATTTTTATTGAATTTGAACTATATTTCAACGTTTTTTGATGGTTCTGAGCCACCAAACACACTTAAAGCATGCAGAATCGACTCAGAATAGGAGAAGGAGACGTTTAGGTCAATTTTATGCATTCTGGCGTTCGTAGATACAAGAAAACTGTTAAAATTCTTCAGAAACGTCACTTTTGAAGTGTTTTCTTGTACTTTTAAGCCAATCAGATACCCTACGGGCTCGGAAAGTGCAACGAAACCATCAAATTTTAGCTAGAAACTGTATTTTTGTCGATTTTTATTGAATTTTAACTATATTTCAACGTTTTTTGATGGTTCTGAGCCACCAAACACACTTAACCCTTTCGGCCCTGTGGGTGGCAATTGCCACCTCTAATATTTACGATTTTTTTAAAATTCGCGCGTTAACCAATGTTGCGGGGTTCTTATGTAAATGACATTTACCATTTGTGTAGATTCCTACAGTAAAGATATTGCCGATAAAAAAGGTATTTTCTCATGTTTATGAGCATTGTTAAAATATGGCGTCAATTACGAAAAATATGTTGCCTGGTAAGTGTTACTTTATTTATTTATTGTAATAAAATAGCACAATAAAAGTTTTAACAATTAATATTACTGTTTTGTACAAATAATGGTGAATGTGTCTAGCTCGTTTTTTTCTGTTTTATTTTATTTCTATAATTTACAGATTCTTGTAAAAAAATGTGTACGCAATTGCCACCAATAGGTGTACAAGGCAGTAAAAGTTATACAATTGTAGAATACGCGTTTTTATTATTTCTTTTTCTACATAGAAAATGAAATACCATCGATTCGCTTTTACGGGCAGAAGAAAATGCAAATTTCATTACAAAGCGCAAACCAAGCAATATCGGCTCTGCAAGATGATAACTCAGAAATTGAAGACGACGAAGAAGAAACTGAAGAAGGCTATGATCAATCCGACGATAATCAAGACAACAATGATGATCAAGATAATTGTTACAATAAACATGCCAACTTTGACAATAATGAAGAGACATCAGATGAAGAGCCGGTTGCCAGTACTTCCAAGCGTCAAAAGAAGAAAACTACAATCGCTTGGAGGAAAACAAAATTTGTAGCACCCAATACAAGTTTTATCCCAGAAAACGATGATGATAACAGCACTTCTACGCCAGATTCTCCGTTCGAATATTTCAGTCGGTATTTCCCTTTGGAGATATTTACCCAGTTGGCCGAATATACTAATATATACTCGGTTTTTAAGTCTGGAAAAAGTCTAAACACAACGGAAAATGAAATAAGGCGACTTGTGGCGCTTCATATTATTATGGGAATAATTAATTATCCGCGACTTCGTCTCTATTGGGCACCACAAACCCAATTCAACTTAGTACGTGACATCGGACTAAGTAGAAATAGATTCGAATCTCTTCGAAACAATTTACATATTACAGATGTAAATAAAGACAAGAATGAAAAAGATAAACTCTGGAAGGTAAGGCCCATAATAAAACATTTTGAGAAGAGGTGTGAAGAATTACAAACGGAAGAAAATTGCTGCTTAGATGAGACTATTATACCCTTCAAAGGGCAGTTATCTATCAAGCAGTACATTCGAGGAAAACCTAACCCATGGGGTGTCAAAGTTTATAATTTATGTGGAGAGTCTGGTATCATATATCGATCCATTGTTTATCAAGGCAGTACAACCTTACCTGAACTAAATCATACGTTTTCAGCGACGACTCAGTTAGTTCTGCACCTCGCTGAAAGATTACCAGGACATCGCGGCCATAAACTTTATTTTGATAATTTTTTTAATTCACTAGAAGTGTTACAACAATTGTCAAAAAAAGGAATTTTTGCGGCTGGTACAGTACGACCCAATCGTTTGGGAAAATGCATTTTGAAGACCGACAACGAGCTAAAAAAAATGGGAAGAGGAACGTCTGAATATTGCGTCACCCAAGACAACGATATCGTAGCTGTGAAATGGTATGACAACAAAGCTGTCAACATGGCTTCCAATTTTGTTGCTAAAGATCCACTTGACCAAGTCAGGCGGTGGGATAAAAAACAAAGAACGCCCCTTTCTATTGAAAGACCAGCAATTATTAGACTGTATAATAAAAGCATGGGGGGAGTAGATAAAAGCGATTTTTTGGTGGCTCTGTATCGCACCTTCATTCGTTCCAAAAAGTGGACCCTCCGCATAATCTTCCACTACTTCAACATCGCCGTTTGCAATTCATGGCTGGAATACCGAAGAGATGCAAGTAAAGAATCTGGTTCAACAAAACAAAAAGATTTATTGCAATTTACGTTCGATGTTGCTGAAGCTTTGGCTTTTTCAAAGGCATTAGTGAGAACTCCAAAAGTAGGTAGACCCCGATCACGTTCTGCATCTCCACTCGCATCCTCAGCTGAAAGTCCCAAAAGGCAAAAACAATGTACACCGGTTGAAGATGTACGTTTCGATAATCTTGCTCATTGGCCAATTTATGTTGAGGGGCACGAGCAAAGATGTAAACTTGAAACGTGTAAGGGCAGATCTCGCACGCAGTGCGAAAAATGCAAAGTTTCCTTGTGTTTCAATAAAAATAATAATTGTTTTAAGAATTTTCATGTAAAATAAATCATAATCAATGTGCAAAAGTTATAGTACTTTTTCATCTTTTGGAACCTAGTGGTGGCAAATGCCACAGCTTCCTAGAGGGCTTATGGGCGCCTGGAAAATTCTAAAAAAAATAATTTGTGGTAAGGATATGAAGATAGTCCCAAATATGCATAGCGTTTAATTTTAATAGAAAGTAAATAAACTCAGGGCTGAAAGGGTTAAAGCATCCAGAATTGACTCAGAATAGGAAAAGGAGACGTTTAGGTCAATTTTATGCATTCTGGCGTTCGTAGATACAAGAAAACTGTTAAAATTCTTCAGAAACGTCACTTTTGAAGTGTTTTCTTGTACTTTTAAGCCAATCAGATACCCTACGGGCTCGGAAAGTGCAACGAAACCATCAAATTTTAGCTAGAAACTGTATTTTTGTCGATTTTTATTGAATTTGAACTATATTTCAACGTTTTTTGATGGTTCTGAGCCACCAAACACACTTAAAGCATGCAGAATCGACTCAGAATAGGAAAAGGAGACGTTTAGGTCAATTTTATGCATTCTGGCGTTCGTAGATACAAGAAAACTGTTAAAATTTTTCAGAAACGTCACTTTTGAAGTGTTTTCTTGTACTTTTAAGCCAATCAGATACCCAACGGGCTCGGAAAGTGCAACGAAACCATCAAATTTTAGCTAGAAACTGTATTTTTGTCGATTTTTATTGAATTTGAACTATATTTCAACGTTTTTTGATGGTTCTGAGCCACCAAACACACTTAAAGCATGCAGAATCGACTCAGAAAAGGAAAAGGAGATGTTTAGGTCAATTTTATGCATTCTGGCGTTCGTAGATACAAGAAAACTGTTAAAATTCTTCAGAAACGTCACTTTTGAAGTGTTTTCTTGTACTTTTAAGCCAATCAGATATCCTATGGGCTCGGAAAGTGCAACGAAACCATCAAATTTTAGCTAGAAACTGTATTTTTGTCGATTTTTATTGAATTTGAACTATATTTCAACGTTTTTTGATGGTTCTGAGCCACCAAACACACTTAAAGCATGCAGAATCGACTCAGAATAGGAAAAGGAGACGTTTAGGTCAATTTTATGCATTCTGGCGTTCGTAGATACAAGAAAACTGTTAAAATTCTTCAGAAACGTCACTTTTGAAGTGTTTTCTTGTACTTTTAAGCCAATCAGATAACCTACGGGCTCGGAAAGTGCAACGAAACCATCAAATTTTAGCTAGAAACTGTATTTTTGTCGATTTTTATTGAATTTGAACTATATTTCAACGTTTTTTGATGGTTCTGAGCCACCAAACACACTTAAAGCATGCAGAATCGACTCAGAATAGGAAAAGGAGACGTTTAGGTCAATTTTATGCATTCTGGCGTTCGTAGATACAAGAAAACTGTTAAAATTCTTCAGAAACGTCACTTTTGAAGTGTTTTCTTGTACTTTTAAGCCAATCAGATAACCTACGGGCTCGGAAAGTGCAACGAAACCATCAAATTTTAGCTAGAAACTGTATTTTTGTCGATTTTTATTGAATTTGAACTATATTTCAACGTTTTTTGATGGTTCTGAGCCACCAAACACACTTAAAGCATGCAGAATCGACTCAGAATAGGAAAAGGAGACGTTTAGGTCAAATTTATGCATTCTGGCGTTCATAGATACAAGAAAACTGTTAAAATTCTTCAGAAACGTCACTTTTGAAGTGTTTTCTTGTACTTTTAAGCCAATCAGATACCCTACGGGCTCGGAAAGTGCAACGAAACCATCAAATTTTAGCTAGAAACTGTATTTTTGTCGATTTTTATTGAATTTGAACTATATTTCAACGTTTTTTGATGGTTCTGAGCCACCAAACACACTTAAAGCATGCAGAATCGACTCAGAATAGGAAAAGGAGACGTTTAGGTCAATTTTATGCATTCTGGCGTTCGTAGATACAAGAAAACTGTTAAAATTCTTCAGAAACGTCACTTTTGAAGTGTTTTCTTGTACTTTTAAGCCAATCAGATAACCTACGGGCTCGGAAAGTGCAACGAAACCATCAAATTTTAGCTAGAAACTGTATTTTTGTCGATTTTTATTGAATTTGAACTATGTTTCAACGTTTTTTGATGGTTCTGAGCCACCAAACACACTTAAAGCATGCAGAATCGACTCAGAATAGGAAAAGGAGACGTTTAGGTCAATTTTATGCATTCTGGCGTTCGTTGATACAAGAAAACTGTTAAAATTCTTCAGAAACGTCACTTTTGAAGTGTTTTCTTGTACTTTTAAGCCAATCAGATAGCCTACGGGCTCGGAAAGTGCAACGAAACCATCAAATTTTAGCTAGAAACTGTATTTTTGTCGATTTTTATTGAATTTGAACTATATTTCAACGTTTTTTGATGGTTCTGAGCCACCAAACACACTTAAAGCATGCAGAATCGACTCAGAATAGGAAAAGGAGACGTTTAGGTCAATTTTATGCATTCTGGCGTTCGTAGATACAAGAAAACTGTTAAAATTCTTCAGAAACGTCACTTTTGAAGTGTTTTCTTGTACTTTTAAGCCAATCAGATACCCTACGGGCTCGGAAAGTGCAACGAAACCATCAAATTTTAGCTAGAAACTGTATTTTTGTCGATTTTTATTGAATTTGAAGTATATTTCAACGTTTTTTGATGGTTCTGAGCCACCAAACACACTTAAAGCATGCAGAATCGACTCAGAATAGGAAAAGGAGACGTTTAGGTCAATTTTATGCATTCTGGCGTTCGTAGATACAAGAAAACTGTTAAAATTCTTCAGAAACGTCACTTTTGAAGTGTTTTCTTGTACTTTCAAGCCAATCAGATACCCTACGGGCTCGGAAAGTGCAACGAAACCATCAAATTTTAGCTAGAAACTGTATTTTTGTCGATTTTTATTGAATTTGAACTATATTTCAACGTTTTTTGATGGTTCTGAGCCACCAAACACACTTAAAGCATGCAGAATCGACTCAGAATAGGAAAAGGAGACGTTTAGGTCAATTTTATGCATTCTGGCGTTCGTAGATACAAGAAAACTGTTAAAATTCTTCAGAAACGTCACTTTTGAAGTGTTTTCTTGTACTTTTAAGCCAATCAGATAACCTACGGCTCGGAAAGTGCAACGAAACCATCAAATTTTAGCTAGAAACTGTATTTTTGTCGATTTTTATTGAATATGAACTATATTTCAACGTTTTTTGATGGTTCTGAGCCACCAAACACACTTAAAGCATGCAGAATCGACTCAGAATAGGAAAAGGAGACGTTTAGGTCAATTTTATGCATTCTGGCGTTCATAGATACAAGAAAACTGTTAAAATTCTTCAGAAACGTCACTTTTGAAGTGTTTTCTTGTACTTTTAAGCCAATCAGATACCCTACGGGCTCGGAAAGTGCAACGAAACCATCAAATTTTAGCTAGAAACTGTATTTTTGTCGATTTTTATTGAATTTGAACTATATTTCAACGTTTTTTGATGGTTCTGAGCCACCAAACACACTTAAAGCATGCAGAATCGACTCAGAATAGGAAAAGGAGACGTTTAGGTCAATTTTATGCATTCTGGCGTTCGTAGATACAAGAAAACTGTTAAAATTCTTCAGAAACGTCACTTTTGAAGTGTTTTCTTGTACTTTTAAGCCAATCAGATACCCTACGGGCTCGGAAAGTGCAACGAAACCATCAAATTTTAGCTAGAAACTGTATTTTTGTCGATTTTTATTGAATTTGAACTATGTTTCAACGTTTTTTTATGGTTCTGAGCCACCAAACACACTTAAAGCATGCAGAATCGACTCAGAATAGGAAAAGGAGACGTTTAGGTCAATTTTATGCATTCTGGCGTTCGTAGATACAAGAAAACTGTTAAAATTCTTCAGAAACGTCACTTTTGAGGTGTTTTCTTGTACTTTTAAGCCAATCAGATAGCCTACGGGCTCGGAAAGTGCAACGAAACCATCAAATTTTAGCTAGAAACTGTATTTTTGTCGATTTTTATTGAATTTGAACTATATTTCAAAGTTTTTTGATGGTTCTGAGCCACCAAACACACTTAAAGCATGCAGAATCGACTCAGAATAGGAAAAGGAGACGTTTAGGTCAATTTTATGCATTCTGGCGTTCGTAGATACAAGAAAACTGTTAAAATTCTTCAGAAACGTCACTTTTGAAGTGTTTTCTTGTACTTTTAAGCCAATCAGATACCCTACGGGCTCGGAAAGTGCAACGAAACCATCAAATTTTAGCTAGAAACTGTATTTTTGTCGATTTTTATTGAATTTGAAGTATATTTCAACGTTTTTTGATGGTTCTGAGCCACCAAACACACTTAAAGCATGCAGAATCGACTCAGAATAGGAAAAGGAGACGTTTAGGTCAATTTTATGCATTCTGGCGTTCGTAGATACAAGAAAACTGTTAAAATTCTTCAGAAACGTCACTTTTGAAGTGTTTTCTTGTACTTTTAAGCCAATCAGATACCCTACGGGCTCGGAAAGTGCAACGAAACCATCAAATTTTAGCTAGAAACTGTATTTTTGTCGATTTTTATTGAATTTGAACTATATTTCAACGTTTTTTGATGGTTCTGAGCCACCAAACACACTTAAAGCATGCAGAATCGACTCAGAATAGGAAAAGGAGACGTTTAGGTCAATTTTATGCATTCTGGCGTTCGTAGATACAAGAAAACTGTTAAAATTCTTCAGAAACGTCACTTTTGAAGTGTTTTCTTGTACTTTTAAGCCAATCAGATACCCTAGGGGCTCGGAAAGTGCAACGAAACCATCAAATTTTAGCTAGAAACTGTATTTTTGTCGATTTTTATTGAATTTGAACTATATTTCAACGTTTTTTGATGGTTCTGAGCCACCAAACACACTTAAAGCATGCAGA